GGTTGTTTCCACCATTGATAATAGCTTCGGCGAGAGATTTACCTATTTCCGAAAAGAAGCTATTGACCTGGTTGAATGATTGCAGAGGATTTTGTGTTAGGTTAAGAAGGTTAGAGCTAGGAATTCTAAGAGCTTTAAATTGCGTTATGTCGTTAATTGTGTTCCATAATAATTTTGTGTTAGTCATAGAGAGAAGTAATTGTTTTTTGTAATAGTCACGTTTCAATTTTTTTACAATTATACATATAAATACATAAAATATGTAAATATTTGTAATTCTAAGTTGATAGATAATATTTCTTTACTCTGCTCCGAAATATATCAAGAGAAGAGCTAGCATGTATGTCATGTTCTATAGCTTGACCGCCCTTATAGTAAAGGATCCACCACATCGGCTTGTGAAATGAGAAGGAGTTTTGAGAAGCAGCTGTTTAGTGGTCCGGCACTGAGTTTCACGAGGTACAAGATACTCAAAACGCTCGCGGAGATATGGAGGTGCAAGAGGATTAAAGAGTAGAAAGTAAAGAAATGATAACACATGTAAGTCTCGACGTCTACGAATAGGAAGCCATTTTAATTGAGCCCTGTACTCTGAAACATGATCAAACTTATGAAGACCGAAAATAAAACGTATACACAAATTTTGAACACGTTCCAGTTTGTTCAACAGCTCCTCTGAAGCATCCAAAAACCTAACATCAGCGTAGTCAATGAAAGGAAGAAGAAGTGCTTGAGCTAAGGTTATCTTAGTTTTTAACGGATAAAACATCTGGAAGCGCTTGAGAGATTGGAAAGAGTAGTTCAGTTTTCTGCTAATCATATTAATGTGAGCAACTCAAGACAAATTATTATCAAAAATAACACCTAAGTTCTTAGCAGTCTCTGTATATGGAATTTGAGTATTATCATACGTTACTGCAGGGATCTTCGAACGATCTAATAAATTAAGCATATATGAGCTGCCGATAATCATTACTTGGGATTTAACAGGGTTAACAAGAAGACCAAACGATTTTGCCCAACTGCAATGGCGGCTTAAGTCAGCATTCAGCTTATTAATAGCCTCATCTATATCTCGGACTTAGAAATGACGGTATAATTGCAAGTCGTCAGCATAGAGATGATAATGAGAGGAGAGAACAGTAGTGAGAGCATTGATAAAAATAGAGAAGAGAAGTGGGGAAAGAACACCACCCTGATGAACACCCGCCGTGAGATCACACCACTCGGAGAAATCCTCCTCATGGCGGACACACTGCGAGCGATCCCTAAGGTAAGAATTAAACCAAGAGATTACTGATGGTGAAATGTTTAAGGACGAAAGAATACCAAGAAGTATGTCATAATCAACGGAATTAAATGCACTGCTGAAATCCAATAATCTTAGAACAGTGAGTAGTCTTTTGTCCATGGCCCAGCGAATATCATCAGACACTTCAATCAGAGCGCTGACTGTGCTATGCTGTTATGGCCTGGACGAAAACCAGATTGGAAAGAACTCAGCAAGCTGTGAACAGTTAGGAAATGAGATAGTTGCCTCTGAACTATATTTTCTAGTACTTTAGATAAGATGGGAAGAATAGAAATAGGTCAGAATTGGGATAAAGATGTAGGATTAGAAGTTTTTGGAAGGGGAATGACGAATGCCTTTTTCCAACAAGTCGGAAATGAGCTCGTCTCAAGCGAAGAAGAGATAATGTGAGTGATAACAGGGGCAAGTTCATTAATGATAGGTTTAATCATTTGCATACAAAGATTGTCATAGCCAATAGCTTTAGTGGAAATAGATAAAAGGCATTTTTTTATGTCACCATCAGTAACTTTACTGAAATTAAAAGGAGAACACAGCGGCTTAGGAATATTGGAGAGAAGATTAAGTGTAGTAGACTTAATACAGTCATCAATAGAAATCGGAGGCTCAGAAAAGTGCCGGTTGAGTGCAGTCAAATCAAACGAGATATTAGAATCATTATGTGATTTGCCTATACCCAGAGTTCTAAGAAATTTCCACATCTGAGCAGAATGAGAATTTTCAACCTCATCATAAATATGTCTCCTCTTAGCATCACGACACATCTTACTACAGCGATTACGTAGTTTTTTATATGTGAATAAATTTTCATTAGTAGGGTGCTTCTTATAACGCCTCTTAGCTTTATCTCTTTTGGACATTACTGCTTTTATAGACTCTGAAAGCCAGGGGGCTGGAAAGTGTTTAACCTTGACTCGCTAAGTGGTGCATGTGTATCGAAAAGTTTTAAAATGAGGTGATTAAAAGCATAAACTTTATCATTAATATCTTCGGAATTTAGAACACGGGACCAGTCAATATTATTTACATCATCTCTCAAACGCTCCAGGTTAATTGATTTAAAGCTTCTTAGGAATAAGAATTTCGATTTGCGCCTCTTCTTATAGTGACTTATCTTATAGTGACCATATCAATATTAAAATCTTTTTATGTTTTGAATACATAGATTGACTTGGCCATCGCATGAAAACACAATGTATCTCACAAGTAATATATATTATATTAAATTAGATTGTTTGGTGCTGGCATTTTTACAAATTATGTTTTTGATGGCATCTCATTTCTTTTTGTAGATAGTTCTATTTTTTTCCTTTCCGGTACCATCTACTTCTTGAATACCAACTACGGATTTTCGGGCAATTTAGTCTACTTGATACTTTGCGGTATTTTGGTACAACTTCATAAGACATGTCCTATTCTTGCTTTTTCATTCCGTTGACCATTTTACAAGTTAACTTCAAACATAATTATATCTAGGTACCTATCTACATCTATTATTCCATTATATACATATACAGGTACACTGATTCATTCTCTGCAAATGTAACTTTGTAATCCTATATATTTATATAAGATTACAAAGTTATTTATGCAGTTGGTGTATCTAGAAATTTTGACCGAAATTGCAAAATATTTTAGTTTTTCTTTAATTTATACACTAAACACTTATTGTATTCTAAATTTGAAGCTTGTACGTCTTCTAGAAGTGCCTTAGAGTTTTGATGATCGGTCAGTTAGTGAGCGAGTGACAAAATTAAGAAACTTGGACAAGTTATAATTCTTAAACTACTGGTTCAAATTGGATGAAATTTGAAACATACCGTGTTTATACAATGCATGCTCGGTTAGTGAAAATTCAGGCGACGAGTTTTATCTACAACGAAGTTATAGAGGGTCGAAAATGGCCTAAAATGCTTTGAGAAAAGGATGGTACGGCCGTGCTGCTTTTTTGCTTGGCTTGGCGGGGCGGCAGATATAGGGCGGACTAAATGCCTATTGGCATTATCTAGTGTAGATAGAATAGTGGGGGTAATAGTAATAGTGGCAGGATAGAATTCGCGGGTGTTCCACCAGGCTACGAGTACGTGCCATCAGTTTATCTTGTCTATCAATTATATATATATATATATATATATATATATATATATATATATATATATATATATATATATATATATATATATATTGATAGAGTCAATGCCAAAATTTTTTGAGAATGCATCATAGAGTGCTGGAAAAACATTTGTATCAGACACCCTCCCCTAATAGTCTCTACACACTACAGCCCTTTTCTCTAATATGTAGGCACTGACGCCACATTGCAATAAAAGATGCACATGAAAACATTCAATGACCAAGGATGTATTATGCTATTAAAATACATTTTACAGAAACTTAAAATAAAAAATTTAAAACCAAAAATGCTTAGTATGAAGATAAAGTGGTGCTTACTACCATGCTACTTATATCTAATTTTTTTATATATAATTGTACAACATATTGTAAATTATTGTTTGAAATAGTCCCACTGGATTTCCCACCGGTTTATTCCTGGCCTGAGGTGTTTTGGGAACTAATGGTAAAAGCATAAATAAATTTCAATAAGTATTCTTGCAATCTACATTAAATAAAATTTGTTGTGTTCTGCTTTATTATAAAGAAAAAGGAATCACCAGCATTTTCCTATAAGAGTGGTGAAAATCACTTGTAGCTTGGAAGCAGTATCAAATAAAAACATTTATACTCTGAATCAGTGGAGTAGCATGCCTTAATGGGGCACTGTATCAAAATTTGTCGGGGGGCCCAAATGAAGGCTAAAGATTTTTCACAAAAGAAACAAATACTCTCACATTGAATTAAAATAATTATATATTGATATAAGTTATTATTAACAATTCATACTCCTAGGAACTAAGCTAGCCAAACAATTCAAACCAACATGCTGTCCCATAGAAGTCCTTGGAATTTTTGCTTACACACTTTCGGGGCCTCTGTAGCCCGGGGGTCCCGTATCATTGATATGGCTGATACAGCGGTAGCTACGCCCCTGCTCTCAATGGAGCTTATATCAATGTCTAAGAAATTTTTCTGCAATTTTTTGTAGGCTCATTTAAGTCTTAGGTCCTCAAAAACAATCATTTTATGCGTAGGGAATATGTGGTGGGTGTACCTGCGACAGGATCACTGAGTGGGATCCCACCTAATGCGGCAAACAGTTAGTTTGTCACTTTAATTCTATTAAGTCACATAATACATGGAACTTTAGGTGTGGGGCAGAACACCGACACATGATACCCTTGTACTGATTATGTTGCTCCACATTTCTGAGATTACCGTTAGAATAGACAGAATTTAATTCTATGGTATATCTAATAAAACAAAGCTTGATTGTTAAATTGAATGATGCACTGTGTGCAGTTGAAGTTTTAGCATAGAGAAAAAGTAGGTGTATTCCTTAAAACACCTAATTAGTATTACCTGAATATTACCAATAATATATCAGACTGATTTTATAAACCTTTTACTGCTATTTGAGTAGTATGCAGTTTTGTCTCACAACACAATGTTATGAAATAATATAAAAAAAAAAATGGAATTTTTAAGTTAACACAACATCATTTTTATTTAAAAACATTTATATTTTTCTAAATAGTACTAATAAACACAAATAAAATAACAATAAATACTTTCACTCAGTAACTTCCCATGGTTTTTCAGGTCTAAATTGATCCCACGGATTTGGTTTCTTATAAACATCTGGCTCCTCCAACTTTATACCCCCATTTACAACTTCATTAAGAAACTTTTCTACTTTCCCACCTTTGACAGGTTTTATATCACAGTACATTTCAGTGATACCACATTCCAAACATCTTTGGGCAAACACTCTTCCCAAGTTAAAATAAGCACATGTATCTGTTATACTGTACAATTGTTTTCTTAAGGCCCATTCTGAGGTTTTTGCTTCAATAACAGGGCCATTAATAAAATGGACGACTTGTGCTGTAACTGTCCTGTTGCTCCTTATCAACATAAGTCTAAAAATGTAAAAAGATCATAAAATTAATCAATTATTACTTCTACTTAAAAAAAATATTTATTTTGTGAATATCTATGTACTAAAAATATTATGGCAAATAATTAAAAATATATAATTAAATCAAAAACAAATGATTACAACAAAAAAATTTGCATACTTATGCCAATATTTTCTGCCTGGCTTTTCTAAGTGGTATCCATCAGGTTTACGGGCTATACGAATGCGCTCCAGGTTTCTTGGATTTCTGTTCACAAATTCGGCTGGGGCTGATGAACAGAATCTAGCCCACTGCGAGGATAAACTGATATTTCTTAATGAATACATCGGGATGAAATTATTACAAAGATTAAACTTGAGTTTTCATTTATCGTTATACCAAAGTTCTTTCCAATGGAAGTCTACAAAACTAATCGCAAAGATAAATTTACCATACATAAATAAGAAAAATCTCTAATTTTGATATTTCTAATTTTCGTATCCTAACCTAACATACTTCCTCAAAATTAAAATGACATATGACAATGACAATTAACAATAATTGACAATGTGAATTAGAGATGGTCGTTTTTTTCGCAACCTGTTAAGACAAATCGCGCATTAGGTTTTTTCACTAACGTCCAAGGACTAAACGTTATTGCACAAACCGTTGCGCCAATTGCTGAAGGCATTTGACGCATAGGCATACAAATAGGCATTTGGTCCACTGCTACCAATAAGTTCACAATTATGTTTCTTTTTCTGCCGACTTCCAAAAAGGAGACGGTACTCAATTCGACTGTAGGTATGTTTTTTTATGTGTGTTACCTCATAACTTTTTACTGGGTAAACCGATTTCGATGATTCTTTTTTTATTTGAAAGCTGATACTTCTTGTGTGGTCTCATATAATTCGATCAAGGTCAGACCAATAGTTATTGAGTTATTCTTATTAACTTATATTGAAGTCAGCTGTACAAGATTTTTAATTTTAAATTATTAGTTATATATTTTTTCGGCGTCGATTAGTGACAAAACGACTTAATTTTCAACCAAAAAGGTTTGACAATTGATATTTTCAAATGTCAATAAAAATGAAAATGTTGCAACATCGTACTGTAAATAATTGTTTATTTAAGTTTTATTGCCACCAATAAATTATAATTTTTCATTGCTTTAGTTTCATAATAAATTGTTAGCTAAAGTTCGGTCGCCCAACATGAAGAATTTCGTACAGTGTCCCCGTCATTACTGGTGTCATTACTTGTCTTACTCATCATTCATCATCATCATTACAGCTCTTCACAAGTCAACTGCTGAAAATAGGCCTCCCCGAAGGAATGCCACGAAGCACGATCCTAAGCTACATGCATCCATCGACTTCCTGCATGTCTTACCAGGTCGTCTTCATCTTCATTCTTCATCTAGTGGGGGGTCGCCATACACTTCGCTTACCGATACGAAGCTGCCACTCGAGAACCTTTTTTCCCCATCAGTGGGTCATACCAACATGTTCTAATTTGACAATAAAACCTATATAGCTTTAAAGCTATGCTTATGAAAATAACAATAGTTTTTGTTTCATTTGTTGAATTGGTGCAGAAATACGAAAGTTATAACGTTTTGAAATTTCGCAATTTTTTAAAATTTTACCCGCTCGTTATCTATGACGTGACGTCACAATCCGACAGAGCGAACGCGCAGTAGGTACTTGCTAAGTCCAGTACTAACATTCGGTTAGAGTCTACTAGTTAGTCTGTGGTACTAACGCGCTCGGAAGTATACGGTCGTTTACCTACATATTTATTCGAATGTCAGAGTTAATGTCCGGTAAACTGTATTAGATGACATAATACTTATAATAAACTCAACGACTATATAATAATTTTGAACTAATAATTTATTAATACTCGTAATCCAATCTAATATGAATAATGTAATCTAATATGAATAATCTAATACAATGTAGTCAATATTATTTAAGATCAATAATTTAGTCTAATTGTTCGCGCCAAGCGCTAATGTCAAGAACCGACGCCAGATGGCACTCGGCTCGGCGCGATACCGGTTTTGACGTCGGTCGAGCGGTGGGTGTTGAGAACGCGCAAGGGCGAAAAGGGAGTCGTTTGCCAGCTGTGCTTGGGACAGCACGCTGTCATTTTTTTGTTCGGGGATGCGGAATTGTGCACGCGCGCGTCAAGTAGATATACGGTCTAGGTTTCGAGCCGCGCATTCCTTGTTCGAGAGCTTCTCCCAGTTGATCATCAGGAAATGATTATAATCGTGTCGTCGCGTTAAGTGACCTTTTTTGTGTGTTGGCTTGTTAGTTTACGCGTCAACGAGGCGTATTTTGAATCTTTTCGCGACGTGGTTTTTGGTGTCGAATGAAGGAACTTAGTTGTGTTTAACTGAGTAGTATGACTCATTAATAGATCGCTTTATTTCCCTCTTTATAATTTGTGATAAGTGAATCCGGGACATTGAATGTTGAACTTTGAACTAATGTCCGTTACTGTGTCGGGTATCACGTGTTCGATTCTACGATGAATGTGGAATTAGGCGAGTTTTAGTTAGTTAAATGTACAATGAAGCTAATAGGACTGTCCTCGTGACGAACTAAGAAAGTGACTGTGGACGACTCCGCGGAAGATTACCACAATTTGGAGCAGTGCTGAAGTCCGAGCTGCTGCCGACGGCAACGGTCTCATAAGGTCTACCACACTCAGTCACACACAGATACACATAACTGACCCTTACTTCCCATGCACCATACAACCACATGCGACCTGACCGAACCCTGAGGGACCAGTCGCCTTGGATATAGGTAAGTAAGCTCGGTTTAATATTCTCCCTGTTGAATGGCATGTGATAGAACATATTCCACGTGGCCATATTGTGGCCCCGTCCCTCTGCTGCCCGTCGATGGGATTACTCATGGGCCCTAATCCCGTCAACCTTTGTTGGGGCAGCTAGGGGCGTGTACACTAATAATCTAATCTATTATTATGAATAATGTATGTATTATATACTAAATTGTGGTTGTATTCTCTTTGTTATATTCAATGAACTATTAATAATATTTGACATTTGTATGCCCATGGGGCTGAACACAGACTGAACTTTATTTGTGTTTAAATAAGACCTTTTTGTAAACTGTGAATCACAAATGAACTATTTGATTTGATTTATAAACTAAAGTATTGAACATTTAGCTTTTATATGATTATATTTATATGTATAGTCACGGTGTGTAGTGCTGTATAAAAAAGAAAATGGAAGCGGGCTTTGAAAAAAGACAGTCAGCTAATCTTTATCTATATATATAGATTAGCTGACTATCTATAGCTCTGATATTTTTATGTTTGCGCAGTATTTTTCAGAAAATTATGATTTTTTTATCATCAGAAATGCATGGAATAAAGCTCTAAAGGTAAGTTACTAATAAAAGATTACTAAAAGTATACAGCTTTACCATTGATTAGTAATTAGGCAGTAATACATAGATAGGTATTAACTGACCGAACCACGAAGTTGCACATGATTATAACGACATAAAATGAAAAAACTTACTTAAACTTACTAATGCAGTGAGTATTAATCCACTCGTACTGTTATTTGGTACCTAGTGACACGTGAAGAAATTTTGTTGGTTACGTAGTTCGTCAGTGGTTGCAAACATATGGTCCTAGTTTTACTTTGACTTACTTTTGAATAAACTGATTGCGGTATTACGTTAGTAGTTGGTACCTATTCGGTTTTGAAAATGCAATGGTCGCTAGCATTCAATGCGTGTAATATTAAACTGATTTTGATGAAATTTTGCGTTAAGATATAACTTGATCTACAGAATTTTTATTTTCTCATATCGGACTTTTATTCCCAAGGAGCGTGATATATAAGAAATAAAAAAAAAACAGAAAATAAAGGTTACTGATAAATAAATAACATGACAAGAAATATATGGAGTAACAAATAAAATAAAAAATATGGAGAGAATAAGAAAAATATAACATTAAAGACTAGTGATGGCTTCGACGTGTCGATATGTGACGTCACATCGCGATGCGGAGCAAAGCGATTGCCTTTACCGTAAAACATGACTTTACTCATCAATATTTCAGTCATTTTTAAATGTAGAAAAAAGAATAAGAATACCGTTGAATTCGTAATTTTTTATACAATTTTTCCTTTTTTTTAAAAAAAAACGTTACCTCCACACTAGGATTTTCTCCTGTATCATAGAGGCAATTTACAAACATAGGCGAATCGAATCACTTTTTCTTTGAGGTTGAGCAATTCATACTAAAGTGTTATATAATGTTATTTTTATTGATAAAAACGTAAGAAGTAACAGTCAGCTATAAAATAAACATTTAAAAACATTTGTGATGGAAGTATTTCTTTAATTATTTCTGCACAGGTGGGAGGCTGGGATTCGTCAGATTGTTGCAAACTTGTGGATAGCGCTATATTATCAAGTGGTTTTGTATTTGTTGCTTGGACTTGGGGCACTTGACACTTTCTCTGTTTTGCACATGAACTCTTAATTTTTATCCCAGGCGTTGCTTTATTCTTCTTTCTTTCTTCATCTGCACAGGTGGAAGACTGGGCTTTGTCAGACTGTCGTGAACTTGCAGATGAGCTTGCACTTGTAGCTGCATTCGTTGGGAACTTGGGGACTGCACTTGAGACTCTACAATGACCGACTTTTGATCATCGATTAACTTGTGGTCAGTTATTGCAGTGGCGTTTAGGGGAAATATTCCAATCTTTTCAAAGCCTTTTGTGGTATTCCCAACATTGACAGCCTGATTCCAAGCCCGTTGGAAAAGTGCTCCGAAAGCGACTTCTGTGATTCCTTGATTCGGATGTGAATGTTGCCACGCTGTAGCTTGTTGGTGATAATAGGTTTTGAGCGGTTTGAAAAACGATACATCGAGCGGTTGCAGGGTATGTGATGTGTGTGGAGGAAGAAGTACAAGTTCAATTTGAAAAGAGTCACACAAGTCTACCACTGAGTAGCTGGTATGAGACGCGTTCCCTTCAAAAATTAGAACTACTTTTCCTGGGGTCCGGTAGTGATTGAAATGTTGCAGCCACAGCTTAAAAGCTTCTTTGGTGACCCAGCCCTCTTCTGTCATGGCAACTTCAGTACCAGGTGGCATACCTAGGAGAAAATCGTCACGTTTACGCAAACCTTTAAATATAACAAATGGAGGTATGTACTGTCCTGCTGCATTCATACATGCTAGAACGGTTACATTTTCACCTTTCCATGAAGCGATGAAACCAGTCCTGGCCAGCCATTCCCGTACTTCTGTCAAATTTGTGTTTTATGTTTTGACGTTC